CTTCCTCGGCCCTCTCAACCGCAGGGTCAGGGTTGCCCCGACAAGCTCGGTGGGCTTCACTTTAGGGGGAGGCTGCACGGCACAGCTGCCCCTGCATCTCGGCCGTGTGGCAGCCCAGGAGCCTGTGGCACTGGGACCTGGATGCAGGGCCCAGAGCTGTGGGTCTGGGGAGGAGGCCGAGCTGGCGTGAGCAGCACCCCTGGCTGGACTCTGGGCTTTCTGCTGGTTCAAGGAGGCGTCATGCTCAGACAGCAGCAGTCGCAAGAAGCCACCTGTCCCTCCTTCCCTGCTCCCCTGCAAGCCAGGGAGCTGCCCTGGAGCTCGGGAGGGGCTGACGCCACCAGTGCTGCAGGGCGGCAGGAGCCTGCCACACACGTGCAGACCCCGCAGGAAGCGAGTGCATGGAGACAGGCCCTGACCCGGGGCAGCAGGGCTGTGTCCCAGGCCCTACCCAGAGCTCCCAAAAAGTGGGGCCACCTTGGCCGCGTGTGCTTGGGTAGCTGTGCCCGGGCCAGGCCTCCTTGCTGGTGGCCCAGGCCCTCCGCACCTCCCACGGCAGGGCTCCAACCTTGGACGGTGGGAGGGAAGCTGCGTCCAGCCCCACATCAGCTCAAGGGGATTCAGCCGGGGCCGGAGGATGAGGGGAGGCCCACACGGAGCTGCCCACGGTAGGCACGGACACTACGGAACGCTCGGCAGCTGCGATGACACCAGAGCGCAGGGAACCGGGGGAGGAAGAGCCGGGCCCGGGAGGAAGATCCACGTGGCACCCCCGACAGCAGCGTCCGCACCAGGTCCCGGCAGCAGGAGCAGGACGGGCGGCTGCAGGGGTTTCACAGCGGAGAGCACGGCAGGACCAGCGCAAGTGTCCCGAGGCGGCAACCACAGAGCCGGAGACAAAGGCCCCAGAGACGCCAGTGGACGCAGAGGGAAAGACGGAGTGAAGCGTCAGGAAGAGAGCGCAGGTGAGGACGGCGCTGTGCTGTCGGCGAGGCGGGCGGCATCCCTGAAGCAGACTGTGTGGGGAGGCCACAGGACATCGGCTGCTCCATCGCCTAGCGGCGCGAGAGGACTGCCCAGGAGGCAGCGGGCGCCAGCGCAGACAGCACGGGCAGGCACGGCTGCTGTGGGGATCTCAGGAGCTCCGGAAGCTTCCCTGAAATGGAGGAAGGGCACAGCTGCAGGAGCCCCGTATCGGGACGTGCAGAGCCAGGTCAGCCTGAGGCCCCCACGGCACCACTCTGCCCACCGAGATTCCAGGGGTGTGTGACCCCAGGATGTGACCCAGCCTAGCTCCGTTCGGCCGCGGAGGTGTCAGCTCTCACGTGCAAACACCTCCGAGAGCGGAATCGGATTCAAAGGCTCGAGGACAAGGAAGCCACGGCCCAAGCCCAGGGTGAAGGTGGGTTTGTGGCCCTGGAGGGGTTTGGCTGGTTGACGCCTTGTCCACAACGCAGCTGAGCGGACACCAGCTGGCAGCTGGCGGTGTGGATGCCACGAGCATCCGCAGAGCCACCGGGATCCACTCTCAGCTTCGGGGGTTGGGGACAGACACCTGCGCGGGAAACTGTCTCTCTGAGGTTGAGCGGGGCCTCTGGCTCATTCTGTTTCTAAAAGTTTTCTTTGTTAAATTCAAGTAAAATTAAATTGAATGCCTTTTATTTTAAAAAGATTAATAATAAAAGTTTGACAGAAAACGTAAGAGTAGGAACGGCTTTTTAGGCATAACACAAAACGCAGACGCCATAAGACAAGACGCGGAGAAGCGTAACTGAAAGTAGCGTCTGCAGGTGGGAAAGCAGCGCGGGCGGGGGAGGGTGGGCGGCGACGCCTCCGAAAGGGAAACTGCGCCCGCACCAGAGACTCGGAGGTCCGACGCGTCCAGTTTTCAGACTCGTGTGAATGAGAAAAGGATCAGTCCCCGGCCAGGGAGCCGCAACTTCCGTGAGTAAACGGTTACTCACAGACGGGGCAAGTCACGTCTCTCCCACGTTGGAGACTCTCCAACCGCACGCACAAGAAGAGGGCAGGGAGGGGACAGGCGCGGCCCTGGCAGGAGGGCAGCGCGCTCTCGGGGGCAGGAACTTGCCCGCGCTACAGATGCTCCTGGGAGCCACCCTGGGCAGGGCCTGCGCGGGCGGAAAGGTGTCCAGGGATGTTCTTCCTGACGCTGGGAGGGCGAAGGCAGGGAACAGCCTTCTCTCCCGTGTCTACTGCGTTTGCACACACGCGTGTACGCTTTCTTCTCGGCGCGTGAGAAGATCAGGCTTTTCCCTGTGAATTTCCAGGGCTTGCTTCTGAGCAGGAGCCCTCGGCACCCCCCCACCCGTCCGCATCAATGAGAGTTCGCAGGAACCGGCTGCTGTGCGGGAACGCGGCAGGGGGTTGGCTGGTAGTGCCAGGGGATGCCGAGTTCCTAAAGCGCAAAATCTGTTGCTGGCTGTTGTTGTCGAAGACAAGCCTGCCCCAGGCTGTCCCGACTGCCGGCCTGGAGCTGCCCCATCTGGCTCAGCAGTGGTCAGGGTCTGCAGGAGTCAAGACTGTGGCTGACAGACCCAAGGCCAGATGTTTGCACTGGCGCAGGCGAGGGGGTCTGACCTGGGACGACGCTGTCTCTGCGGTCCCCAGGGTTCATCCTCAGTGAGGCCCCCACGCGGGCGCCGCAGGCCTCCCCCACCCCGCCCCCCAGGACGAGCGGGTAAGGACAGGTGGGCCGGTTGCTGCAAACTCAGCCCCGACTGCAGCCGCCCGATGTGGCGAGAGGCAGGAGACCGAGTTGTGGAGAGAGACGGCAGCTCGGGTGCGCCGCGCAGGAAGCTAGACAGCCTCCAGGGGGCCGGGTCCACTGAGGGTTCGCTGCGTAGCGGTGATGGCGCAGCCAGGGGCAGAGGCGGGAGACCGGGTTGGGCCGAGGGACAGGCCGGACCAGCTGGGTCTCTCGGCTCCCGGACACCAAGCCCGGCTTTCGCAGCCCTGAGGAAGGAACAGGCGACAAACGGGGCTTGTCTCTGGACGTTGGTCAGCAGGTGGGCGGCTCTGGATGCGGAGGTCACGGGCCCAGGCCTGGGACGGCACAGAGGGGCGTCCGGAGTCTACCAGCGCGACTCCCCGAGGGCGCCCAGGCTCGTGGAACGCAGATTCCTGGGCTGGCCCAGCTGCTGAGTGTGGGTCTGGCGTGGGGCCTGGGACCCGCAGGGCCTCTCTAGCTGCCCTGTGCAGGGACACGGCCTCCCGCTGCAGGGCTGGAACACGCCGCCCAGGTCTCTTCCCAGAGCTCCGGGAGGCCACGGGGACGGAGATGTGCAGCCTAGAGGAAGAGGGGCGTCACCATGCCCCTGCTGGGCCCTCTGGGTGCCCGTGTGAGAGCGGAGCCAGGGCCAGGGAGCCGGTTCCCACCCACACCTCGGCCTCCCGCACGGGGGGCCAGCTGACCCGCAGCCCCGGGCAGGGCCCCACAGCTTCCAGGGAACCCACCTGCCCACCCTGTTCCCCAGAAACAGCCTCCAGCGCTGGGGCGGCCCCTCCAGGAGGCCTTTAGTCACTCGTGGGCTGGGCTACTGCAGGAGGTTGACCCCTGCCACGCCTGCCACGCGTGAGGACCTTCAGAGGGGCCCAGAGAGCCTGGGGCACCGGGGTGTGGGGTCCCCAGCACGGCCTCGGACCCCAAAAGCATCAACGCTTGCTGCCTCTGCCCTGCCCAGTCCCGGTGGCTCAGGAGGCTGAGGTGTGGTGCTGGGGGCCGCGGGGAGACGCAGGCACGGAGCAGGTGCAGACCTGAACTGGCCACTCGCCCCTCCGCCGCACTCGGGGGCGAACGCAGCGTGACTCTGTGTGGGACTGTCCCTGGGCAGCACAGCGAGGACCATGGCACCACCCTCCCCTGGGTGTGGGGAGCCCCTCCCACGGGCTCGCACCAGATGCCTGCGCTAACCCCGTAATTACAGGTGAGGACACTGGCCGTGGAGAGGCCAGGAGCTCAGCCCACCTAGTTAGGAGGGTGGGGCTGGTTGGAACCTTCCGGACACAGGCTCCGAGCCCTGCCCCCCAGCCTCGCCTGCAAATTCCCCTGGGATGGGACCGAGTGAGCAGCACCCCCAGGACCCTGCTCGGGGGCCCTTCCTGTTCTGCGCTGTGTTGTGCTTGTGGGTCTTGGCTGTCTCAGAAGACGCGTGTCCTTTGAATGTCAAGGAAGACTTTTAATAAACAGAAACTCGGTGGGTGAAAACAATAATCATGTCACATGTTGCTTAAGCCACAGGCGTCGACCTCATTTGTCCACATTCCGGCTATTTTAAAATCAGTCCTAAGGAGGGAATTTTGTCACCTTTCTCAGTCCAAATGGAACGCGGGCGATGTGGCCCAAGTGGGTCAGTGCCGGAGCCTCCCGCCGGGGCAGGCTGCACTCTCAGGGTCACGGTGGCCGGTGGGCCCTGCCGAGAGGCTCCCCTCCTGCAGGGCTGTGGTACCTGTGGGCGCAGCATCCATGGGGTCCCCCTGGACACCTCGGGAGCAGCTGGGGTCAGGTGGGGCCTCGGCCACCAGCTGCAGTGCCAGTGTGCATGCGCCCAGCCGGAGGGCCAGCCAGAGGCCCACCCACCTGGGGCTGGGATGGACGGGCCGCCCAGCACGGCCCCCACCCCCCAGCCCCGTGCAGCCGACGCTGCCATGGGAGCTCCACCTGCCTGTGCACCCACCCCCTCAGCCCTCCTGGGTGCCCCGAAAAGTGGGGGCGATCTTGGAAGCCCCCAGCCTTGAGCTCCATGGCTCCCCACCCCTGCCCTAGCCCCTCCCCCAGGGGCCTCCACTCACTCCCCTCCCCTGCAGTCCCCCCACTCGCTCCCCTCCCCCGCA